TTTGTCCTCCGCGTCGTTCTTGCCGGCGAGACGTGTTGCGGTTGGGACAACTGGTGCCGAAACCCGGGACAAGCCTCATCATCGCTGGCACCGCACGAAGACCCCTCGGATACTCGAGGAGGATTCAGAACTGCAGGTTAGTTTGGAGAGGTATGGATGTTGTGGTAATCGCTGGGGTTACTTTCGCTTTAATATTCGGCTCTTTTGTTATTCTGCTGCTCACCCTTTGCTTCCAGGCGGGTTACTGTTAAAGAGACTTCAGAAGGGAGTGAATTCAGTCCGGGGTACATGAACGGCATCGCTCCTGTGCCGCAATTCACTTCCGCGTCGTGCTGACAAGTCGGACGTAGATAAGCCGCACAGCACAAATTCACTTTCACTTTATAAATAAAGGGAAAGGTGTGCACAAGTCGGACGTAGATAAGCCGCGGCCGCCATGGGGAGCTCACAATCCATCATTGCCACTCTGGAGACAGTCTTGAAGCACCGTGATATCAAAATAGCCCCCTGCACACTTAAAAATTTTGTTAAGGAAGTGGATCGTGTTGCACCTTGGTACATTTGCTCTGGGTCTCTTACAGTCGCCTCTTGGAACAAATTGGGTCGAGATCTTGACCGACACCTAGAGAGTGAAGATTTGAGACTAGGTACTAAGGCCATATGGAAGCTTATTAAAAACTGTCTAGAGGACGAGCACTGCCAGAGCCAGGTAGAAGAGAGTCAGATAACCTTAGAGAGGATCCAGGACAGCCTATCAGAAACCGAACGGAGTGAAAGGTTAGGCGCGCGAAAAAAGGTCAGGGCCCAAAGTGAAAAAGGACCTCCCAGACAGCTAGAAGAGAGCTGGGGAGAGAGATCGCAAACGGAAGAAAGTTGCGATATGCAAGTAACTGGAATTTCAAAATTTAATAAACAGGAGGGGATGCAGGCAAAGGGGTTTATGTACCCAATACAGGAGCTTAAGGCTCTACATATTAAAGGCAGAGAGGGTAAGGATCATTTAGAGAGTGAGACCTTTGATCCTGAAGATGAAATTGAGTTAGAGGAAGAAGCAGCGAGATATGGGAGAGGTAAATATTTACCTGAAGAGTACCGGCTGCCACCTTCATATGTAAAGAGAGGACAGACCCAGGCTATTGCCACTGCGCCACCGCCCTATGCGGACTGCCGGCCTGCCATTTCACTCCTCCCAGAGGAGGTTGGTAGAAAACTAGGTCTGGCATTTCCTGTGTTTGAGGTAGCGGCAGACGGACAAGACGGACAGGGAAGGATGTATGCTCCTGTTGAGTATAGCCAGATCAAGGAGCTAGCAGAATCAGTTAGGAAATATGGGGTTAATGCTAATTTTACCATTGCTCAACTAGAGAGATTAGCTAGAGATTCCATGACTCCCTCAGATTGGCAAAGTATCGCTAAAGCAACACTCAATACCATGGGACAATTTTTAGAGTGGAAGGCCCTATGGTATGAGATTGCACAAGAGCAGGCTCGCCTTAACGCAGCCTCGCTCACTCCTGAACAACAACAATGGACTTTTGAAATGTTGACAGGCCAAGGGCGTTATGCTAATAACCAGACAAATTACGCCTGGGGAGTCTATCAACAAATTTCAGCTACAGCTATAAGAGCATGGAAGGCACTAACTAGAAAAGGAGAAGGAGCTACACAGCTAACTAAGATTCTTCAAGGGCCCCAAGAGCCTTTCTCTGATTTTGTAGCAAGAATGACAGAGGCAGCAAGTAGAATTTTCGGAGAGACAGAAGCTGCCATGCCTCTTATAGAGCAATTGGTCTTTGAACAGGCTACCCAGGAATGTCGAAATGCAATTGCACCAAGGAAAGGAAAAGGATTACAAGATTGGCTAAGAATCTGTAGAGAGTTAGGAGGACCACTTACTAATACTGGCTTAGCAGCCGCTATTCTACAGATTACAAAAAAGGCTCCTATGGGAAGAGTAGGACCATGTTTTACATGTGGGAAAATGGGCCACCTGAAGAGAGACTGTAGAAGTCAGCTTACGAACCAACCTGCTCAGGATGTTTGCACTAGATGTGGTAAAGGAAATCATAAGGCAGAGAATTGCAGATCTGTCAGGGATATTCAAGGGAGACCTCTACAACCCTTGGGGAAAGGAACAGTGAACTCCCC